ATGGCCAGAGAGGTGGTATATCGAATTACAACAATATCGAATGTTACAAATGTAACAAACAAGGGCACTATGCGAAAGATTGCAACTCCTACAGTTGCTACAACTGTGGTAAAATGGGACATCTTGCAAAAGACTATCAACTCAGAAGAAAGGTAGAAGAAACAATAAATCTTGCCCTAGAAACAGAATCAAATGAAGGATTTCTATTAATGACTCAAAAGGAAGCAGATGCAGAAAATGACACTATGTGGTACCTGGACTCAGGAGCAAGCAACCATATGTGTGGTCATAAGCACTTGTTCAAAGAAATAAAGAAAATTGAATATGGTCATGTTTCCTTTGGAGATGCGTCGAAAGTAAGGGTCGAAGGAAAAGGAACAATCATTTTCTTGTAGAAGGATGATTTGATAGGATCTATCCAAGATGTGTATTATGTAGCAAACCTCAAAGAAAATATTTTGAGTCTGGGACAACTCACAGAAAAGGGATATTCGATTCTCATGGAAGATCGAAGCTTGCACTTAAAGGACAAGTCAGGACGTCTGGTTGCTCAAGTCGAAATAGGGAGAAATTGAATGTACAAGTTGAATTTGAGAAGCATTCGAGAAAACTGTTTGCAAGTCAATGTCAAAGACCAAGCATCCCCGTGGCATCTACGTTTTGGTCATCTACATCAAGCTAGACTAAGGAGGTTAGCAAAGAAAAATATGGTGCATGGACTTCCAGACGTAGAATTCGAAGGAAAGTTCTGTGAAGAATGTGTGTTTGGCAAACAGACGAGAACTTCATTTCAATCGAAGGCAAAATATCAGGCAAAACAAATTCTGGAATTAATTCACACTAACATATGTGGACCAGTTACCCCAGAATCCTTCAGTGGAAAAAAGTATTTTATATTATTTATTGATGATTACTCAAGGAAAACTTGGGTGTATTTTCTGAAAGAAAAGTTAGAATCCTTCGAAGTATTCAAGAAGTTTAAGATAATGGTGGAGAAAGCAACAGACAAGCACATCAAAGGTCTTCGATCAGATAGAGGTGGGGAGTATACTTCAACAGACTTTATGAAGTACTGTGAAGAATAAGGCATAAGGAGATTTCTGACTACAACATACTCACCTCAACAAAATGGTGTGGCAGAAAGGAAGAATTGAACAATCCTTGACATGGTTCGATCAATGCTGAAGAGCAAAAACATGTTGAAGGAATTTTGGGCAGAAGTTGTACAATGTGCAATCTATGTTCAAAATAGATGTCCACGTTCAAAGCTGGGAGATTTAACACCTCAAGAAGCTTGGAGCGGACAAAAGCCAATTGTGTCTCACTATAAAGTGTTTGGAAGTGTGGCTTATGCACATGTACCTGATCAAAGAAGAACAAAGCTGGAAGATAAGAGTTAGAAATACATACTCATTGGGTATGATGAGAAAACGAAAGGTTACATACTTTTCGACCCAATAAACTAAAAGGTGATAGTAAGTAGAGATGTTCGAGTAAACGAAGAAAGCAAGTGGGACTGGAACAAATCTACTGAAGTTATGGTCGAAGTACTAGATGCTATATCGAAAGATACTTCGACAGAACCAGAAGACTCTGATGATGAAGAAGGACCCTCACAACCCAGGTTGCGAAGTTTACAAGACTTGTATGAAAACACAGAAGAAGTGCATCTCGTATGCTTGTTGGCAGACACTGAAGATGTCAGCTTCGAAGAAGCAATAAGAAAAAAAATTGGAAGGATGCTATGAATGAAGAAATCAAGGCCATCGAACACAATGATACTTGGGAACTAGTAGAGTTACCAAAAGAAAGTCAAACAATTGGTGTGAGGTGGGTGTTTAAGAAAAACATAAATGCACAAGGTGAAATCCAAAGATACAAGGCGCGACTTATGGTAAAAGGATACAGGCAGAAAGCAGGAATCGATTATGATGAAGTCTTTGCACCTGTTGCGAGAATGGAGACAATTCGGCTGCTCATATCTCAAGCTTCTTAATACAAATGGAAAATACATCAGATGGATGTCAAGTCAGCCCCCTGGATGGCGTGCTCGAAGAAGAAGTTTACATCGAATAACCCCCTGGATTCATGAAAATCGCAAATGAAGGAAAGGTGCTAAACCTAAAGAAGGCACTTTATGGGATGAAGCAGGAACCACGAGCATGGAATACTCGAATTGACACATAATTCAAATAAAATGGATTTCAGCAATGTCCCTTCGAACATTCCCTGTATGTGAAGAAGAAAAGGGAGAAAATATTGCTTGTTACTCTCTATGTTGATGATTTAATTTTCTTGGGAAACAACAATCAGATGATCGAAGAGTTCAAAGGCATAATGACACAAGAATTTGAGATGACTGACTTAGGCCTGATGAAATACTTTCTTGGTCTGGAGGTTCAACAAGAAAAAATAGGAATCTTCATCTCACAAGAAAAATATGCAAAAGACATCTTGAAAAGATTTAAGATGGATAGCTGCAATCCCATTTCGACACCAATGGAGCCATGAGCAAAGCTTTCGAAATTTGATGGAACAGAGCGTGTCTAAGCAAAAAAAATTCGAAGCTTGGTGGGAAGTCTTCGATACCTCATATGCACAAGGCCAGATCTTTCGTTGAGTGTTGAAATTATGAGTCGTTTCATGGAAGAATCAATTGTTTCACACTAGAAAGCTCTGAAGAGAATCCTTCGATATGTCCAAGGAAGTGTGTCACTAGGAATGTTCTATTCGAAAGTAGAAGAATACAAATTAATTGGCTACTCTGACAGCGATTGGTGTGGTGACATTGATGATTGAAAGAGTACTTCAGGATATGTGTTCTTCATGGGAAACACTGCTTTCACCTAGCTATCAAGAAAGTAACCCATAGTAACTCTTTCGACCTGTGAAGCAGAGTATGTGGAAGCATCTTGGTGTGTATGCCATGCAATATGGCTGAGAAAATTGCTGAGCAAGATGGAATCGAAATAGGAAGACGCAACAATAATTTAAGTTGACAACAAATTTGCAATCGAGCTGGCGAAGAATCCAGTCAACCATGAACGAAGCATGCACATTGATGTTCGATTCCATTTTATTCAAGAACATGTGAAGGATGAAAGCATCGAACTGAAGCATGTTGCAAGAAAGGATCAAGAAACGAACATTCTCACAAAACCACTATCGAATGAGCTATTCGACAGAGGGAAGAAAATGCTAGGCATGATGGATCGAAGGAACATTTGAATTTATGGGGGAGTTTTGTTGGTTAAATTCAAATCAGTCTTGGGTAATGCAAAAGATAGATTCCCTTGGGCAGTGGGAAGTTTATTCCTTTAGGGAACTAGAAATAGTTATTGTTGTAAACTCTTAATATTCTATATTGTGATCCTATATAAATCACATTGTATCTCATATTGAAAGTTAGTTGGACAATTTTATAAAGAAAAAAAGTTCAAAGTCCACTCCTATTTCTTTTCAATTTCTTCAAAGCTGGCGAGACGGACATAAATGAGGAAATACTGAGGGAATTGATGTTTAGAGCAGAGCCGAAAGGAGTATGAATCAGAATAACTGTGAGGGGGAAGAAATGGTTATGACAAAAGTTATCACATGAGGTTGGGGGAGATTAGTTGGGTTGTATGAACATGGTGGTAGTATCAGAAATAGAACGTTGATGGTGTGAAGGCGATTGAAGGAGGGATGATAGAAAACAAGGGGATGATTCACGGCGAGGGAGCGACAGACGGTGAGATGTGGAAGAGAGATCTCGGAAAGATAATGAATGTAGGGGAAGCTGCATGCGATTTTCTCCCTTTTTCCTTTAGATTCGCCTCTCATGTATCAATACAAGCCCTTTTTCTTATGACCAAACAAACCTTATCCCTTTAGGTTTAGTTCAAAGACCACAACGCCCTCTTCTGATAGATACTTGCTTTTAAATGAAAATGAATTTTAAATATAAAATTCTAAACTTTGACAAAGATAATTTTTTGCCATTTTTATACTTTAGGAGTGTAATTCCGTCAAACCTTTGCCCCACTTTTTAGCGGGATGGACCAAGATTTTGACCACCATCTTTACTGTCTGTTCGCCTCATTTTTTTTAAGCCTTCGCAAGATGTGTTTAAATGAGATACACATGCTCGTATGTCAGTCTTAGATCAGATATTTAGTTAAATATGTTTCGAAAAAACATAAATCTTCTCTACTTAAAAAAAGTTTAATCTAATCTAGATTTAAAATAGGATAGATTGTGACTTTTATGGAAAAGTCAACTTATTCTCATCTCTATATACAATTAAGTTAAAAATTTAATTGATATACATTACAATGTAAAAATGACATTAAATTTATATAAATATTTGAATTTTTCTTTAATCACATCTAGAATACCACTTATAAATAATTGTTATCCACCAACCGTAAGCATATCAACTAAACTCTTAAGTTAAATAACCTAAATATTACCTATTTTCATTCCGACCCACAATTTCTTAAGTTAATTAACTCAAATAGTTGTACCTATTCTTATCCCTACACACAATTAAGCTAATTAACAAACAATTAAGTTAAATAACTCAAATAATTGATTTTACCATTCTAATAAATTTATTTTCTCTAACTTGTATATATTTCTTAGTTTATAATAATTTCACTTCATTTTATCTCTTGATTAATCTAAACACAAGTTTACCAAGTACTAGTAACTAAACTCTTGACGCTCAATTCAGTCCTAATAAAATCCAACAAATAAAATCCTAAATTTCCTAAGTTACACGTTAACATGACATTCAACAAGAAAACAAAGAGAACGACAAATTCAAAGTACTTGTGTATTGTATTGTGAATCTAAACATTCATAATTCCTTCATTCATTCATTCGCATTTTTTTCTATACATTGTATCAAGACAAAACTTCAAAAACATAATATACATTATAAAAAAAAAGACAACCCGTTTCTTCTTTTTTTCTCTCTCACAAAACCCATTCCTCTAATAACTTTTATTCTTTTTATTCTAACTTGAAACTTCCTCCAAAAGCTTATACCTTCTCACCTTATTCCTGAAAACATGTTTGGTAGTAGCACCATCACTATTACTACTTTTTATAACACCTTCTGATCTCGTCCTCCTCAGTTTCTCTTCCAAAGCACCGTTTGTAATAATTCTCTTTCGAGTCGAAACTATAACCGGTGGAGATGTTGATGACAATGGTGATTTTGCTTCTGATGGTGGTGACTTTGGTTTTTTCATAGGTTTTGGAAGTTGAAGCTCAATAACATCACCACAACCACCACCACCTCCGCCGCAACCACCACTTCCTTTAATTAGTCCTTTTTTTATAATTTTCTTGTTCTTTCCTTCATCTTCTGTGCTTCCATTATTCTTATAAGATGATGAAGAATTTGATGAGTTTGGTGAATCTTCTTGACTCAAACACCAGTTACATGTTCCAGAAATATCTGTTCTTGGATATAGATTACTACAATACCTACACAAAATTAATACACAAGCGTAAGTGGTAATAACTAATAGAAACTAATACACAAGCGTGAATGTTAGGATTCGAATCTGATAATAACATTCAACTTAAGAATATCAACTTGGTTCATTGAGCAATGATTTGCGAACTTAGTATAGAAAATTAATGAGTGATATTTAAATATTTTTAAAAAAAATTACCTGTGTTGAGATCTGAATTGGCAGATTTTGCAATGAAAAAGCTGATCAGAGAAACCAAGATCTCCACACATGCAACACTCTGTCTTTAAGGTTGTTCCTTTGTTTGTCATGTTTTGATTTTCATTGAGAGAGAGAGAGAGAGAATTGAAATGATGAAGAAGGAGTGGAGTATAATTATGGCCACAAATAAAAAAGGTGAAGAGAGAGAGAGAGACCCACAAAAGATGAAAACCGAGTTAAACAACATATAGACTTTTGAGTTTGCGTGTCACCGTGTTTGTGAGGTTTGTTGTATATATAAAAGAAATGTATACACGGATTTGGGGTTGATGAAAGAAAGGGAATTCAATTAATAATAGAGGTTTGATAGGGACATTCTTTATTTTTATTTCCACATGCTTGCTACCCTTTTTCTTTATAAAAATATATATACTATTTTGGCATGACTGAATTTTTAATAATAAATATTATTTTGTCTATCCACAAAAAGAAAAAAGAAAAAGAAAATATAATTTTTACTATCAAATTTTCCATGTCATGCCAATTACAATTAGACCAATTTACTTTTCTTAAAAACGTTTATTATATTTTTTCAATAATTTTTATGCAAACTTATTTAAAAATAGTAAAATTATTTCAAACTTATTTGTTATCAATTAAAAAAATAATTATGATCTTTGTAACATAATAAAACTCCCATTTTATAAACAAAATATCACTTCAAAAACATTTTATGAGACACTTCAAAATAGTTTTTTATTTTAATTTTTTGAATGTTATATCTAATAAGAATAATATGAAAAGATTAAATATTTTAAATTAATTTTTTGTCGGTTGAGTTTTTTTTATGGTTAGACAATAAGGTTATATCTCGGATATGGGTATATTATAGTGCAACAAAATGATCCGATAAAGTCACTCTATTTTATCTTTGTGTTACACCCACTTATTCATCAGATTAGTGACAAATGTAAGTTTCTTCTTCATATCTGGAACCTCGATGATGGAATCATTATAGGAGATTTTAAGGAGGTGGCTAAAGCCCTTGACATCATTCGGGAGATCGGTCCAAGATTAGGACTCGTATCGAATATTCATAAAATTGAGATCTTTTGATCTTCGTGTGATGATAATAAACTTTTTGGCCTTAAGTTTGACATTACCACAAGGTATAAAGTTATTTTTGGTTGTTTGCAAGCATCACATGCTCAAGATTTTCTCCTTGTTATCTTTATTGATGGTCTAGGCCAACATATGTCTCTGATAGAGTATCGTACCATCCTTAAATACCGACTTATGATTTCTTATTTTCCGTTGATGAGGTTTGTCCTATTTGGCACAAGGCGTGCTTGGATACATTTGGGGAACATGCTATCCATTGCAAAGAGCTTCCATGATTCAAATATCGACATGACTTTGTTAGGGATATCCTATTTGATATATTTAGGCGTGCAGGGATATCTGTGATGAAAGAGACACCTGTGAATTTCTTGTCTGATACACAAGAGGGAAGATCAACTCTTAGGCCAACAGATGTTCTGGTGTATGGATGGATAAAAGGGAACCGTGCATGCACGTATTTGTCCGGAGTCTCCCCACTGGTGGGACTAAAGTGATCAAGTTTGAGAAAGCATGTTCCGACAACAACATGTTTTTATATCGTTTACCTTTGACACTTTCACTTTTCTAACATCAGAAGCGGTAGAATTTTTATAAAGAGTGCAAAGGTTCATGCATAGCAATATTGTGTCACCTAGTAACATGAATGTAGTTTTAAAAAAAATTAGTTTTATCATCTGAAAAAAGGATAATATCACAATTTATTATTCGTTTGTCTGCTATTTCTGTATAATCTTAATTATTATATTAATATTAATATACTGCTTAATCTCTTGATTGATTTAAAAAAAAATTAAAAAATTAAAAAAAAAATTGTCAAGATATTTTATTTTACTTTTTTTAATTAAAATATATAATATTATAAAAATTCAACCGATATGTGCTAGATATAAACTATTGATTTAAAGTTAATCTAAGGTTATTGACAACATTATTGATTTAAAGTTAATCTAAGGTTATTGACAACATTAATATATCAATACCTTTTAATTTAAAAGTAATGATAAAAATTATTTTTAAAAAATTGTAGCAAAAAGACATTTAATTTATGTGTTTTTAAATTCATTCATAAAACGTCACATACCATTTTAAATATAAATAATAAAATAAAACTATTATATTATTTAAATTTAAATACAAAAACTGATTGCATACGAAGGAGCGTGGACGACTGACTCAAGGTAAAAGAAATAAAATAATATGAATGCTAGGAATGATATAAAAATAGTGTTGCCGTTGGATTTTGTGTAAAGAAAATAAAAATATTTGTATAATAAAAAAGTTGTAGTTGATTGATTTGTGTGTGTGGTCCAATTTGTCCTTATAATATTCCAAAGAAAGAGTGGTTATGGTGATGGCCTCTAAGCCTCTGATGGCAGTCATATCTATGCTTGTAAATGGAATGGTAGATGCGGATTTCTTAATATGAGACATTGTGTTACCCTAAAAAGGCTATATGGAATTTTGAGGAACCTAACTTTGTTGGAATCCAACACACTTTCCGATTCCACATTGTGAGAACTACAATGTTCTATCATGTCATATTCCATAATTAGACTCATTTGAAATATACGTATTATATATTGTATTTCATTTGTCAAGAGTACAAAATTTGTGACATTATTTGTTGGGTATAATATTATGTAAAATCTCAATGATATGTGAAAAATATTAAGTAGATAGAGTTTTGAAAGAGTTTGTATATTGTCATCTTTATTTTATAAGTCATATTTGTAATGATGGTTGGTGTATAAGGTGATGAATAAAAGGAATATATTTAAGAGAGTAAAGAGAATGATGGTTGTAAAAATTGCAAGAAGACTAATAATGTTGTATTTATGACATTTATAACTAGTCTATTTATACAAAAAAAAAATGTCACATAGGTCCTAATAGAATAGACTTAATAACTAAGTTATAAAAAACAATTAGAAATACTAAAATACCATTTAATACCATCCCTTAATTTAGGATTTCTAACTAAAACTAACTACACCAATTCAATCCCTTAAGCGAAGAAATTGATTTGTCTTGATTGTCTTTGTCATAATATTTGCCAGCTGCTCACAACTGCTAATACTTCATTCTAGACTTGACTTCTCAGAAAATAATACTTTATCTCAATATACCTTCTTCTCCAATGTAGTACTGGGGCTTGGAAAGACTGATTGCAGCTTGTTATCAATCATCAGCTTCAGAGGCTTATCTACATTGATCTTCAGATTCTGCAATAAATTCAGAAGCCACACAACTTGACATGCAGCTACAACACCTGCAATATACTCAGCTTCATATGTTGATAGAGCAACAACAAATTATTTCTTGGAACACCAAGAAATAGGACCTCCCAGAAACTTAAACAAGTATCCATAAGTACTTCTCTTATCAACTTTATCTCCACACCAATCAGAATCAGAGTAACTCATCAACTCTGAGTCTGTCTTTCTTCCAGAAGGAAATAATACTCCATACTTCATAGTTCCCTTGATATACCTCAAAATCCTGACAGCAGCTTGGTAATGGGACCACTTAGGTTTACTCATGAACCTACTAACCATTCTGTTATACCCCAAAATTTGCCTCCCATTTTTAAGACAAGTTGGTTCAAGATATCTTCTCATGCTCCTAAGATTCTCAAATACTCAAGATTACTCAAGAATTGATCTGATGAATCCTCCTCCTAAGCATTGACATATAACTAGGGTTTTGGTTTTCTCAAAGAAAATTGAGCTTCTAATGCCTCAAGTAAGTTTCATAGTTCCTCATATGCTTCAAATAATCCTCATGTCAAGTTTTAAGCCTTACATCACAAATTTACTCAGTCAATTGCTCAGATGAGTGAAAATTAACTATATTGGACAAAAAGTCAACTGTGGTGAACATACAGTCAAACTTCAAGTTTTTTGGACAACATCAATATTTTGAGGTCACATTCATCATTTGATCAAGGATTGATCATAATTCATCAAGAAAACTCAAGATTCATCAAAAGTCAAAAGTTACTAAATTAGGGTTTTCTTTAGGAGAAGTCAACTGAACTTTGACCAAGCATAACTTTCACATGCTTTATCAGAAAATTCTCAACCAAAGCTCATTTTGAATGAAATTCAATTCTCTACAACTTTGTCTTTCTAAGCTCAAGTCTAAAAAGTGCTTCATTTGAGAAATATGGGCCAAAACATTAGAGTTTATTTTAAAAGTCAACAAAAAGACACTTTTGTCAAAGAAATTTACATTAAGATATAGTCTTCAAATAGAAAAATGACCAGCATGAATATTGTAGGGGACATCTTGAGGTTTCCAAAAAGTCCAAGATTACCTTAATATGACAAAAATGGAGAGAGTTATGATTGATACAAGTTGGGAAATTTTGAGAAAATGCATAAAATCCAATTTGAGAAAACTTGAATTTTTGGGCTAATTGGCTTATCTTTTAAAGCCCAAACGTGTTCTTAACCTCATAATAAACTCCTAAGCCCATTCATTTATTTTTGTAATCTTTGTTTCTTTTATTTTTTGATTTTATTCATTTAAATTCAAAATTAAATTTCAAATAAATATTAAATGAATGTATAAAGCATAAAAGGCTTTTGATTCAAATCTTTTGGAGGCCCAAGATCACATTACAAACCTTGTGGAATTATTCTTGAAACAAATTTTTATTGTTTTGTCATATTCCAATATATTTTTCAAACAAAATCAAAGATATGTTTTACATGATGTCCAATCCCATATTTTAACCTAATCTCTTCTCCTATATATACATTGCATATTTAGACAAAGAGAGGACAAAAAAAGTTGTGCAAGAAACAAGGTGTTGGAGATTGAAATTTGCAAGAAATAGGGTAAACTTGAAATCCATCATACAACCATCCTCAAGGCCAACCATCCACTCAAATCGATTCTTGAGATACCATAAAGTAAGTTGAGATCATTCTTGATGGTCAAAGAGGCCTGAAACGTGCATTCTAAGCATCGCCGTTTTACATAT